TAAGATGTACTAAAAAAAATTCTAAATTTACAGACTGAATGTAAAGACTCCATCTTTGACCCCTGAATGGGGCATTACTGAATTTTTATGGCAATCTTTCAATTACGTATAATATTAGCCAGAATGGAAAATCATAGCAAATCAAAAATTAAACATCAAAAGGCCTCAACTGGTAGTTTCTAGTAGGACTTTGTGACTTGAAGAAATTTTAATAGGCAATTTACCATTGGAAAAGGGTTATGCTGTGTGTATATTTTGCTGAGGGATGGGGACAAATCAAGGTGGGTATGAATGGAGCCAAGAAAAGCCCCTGATACTGACACAGGATATAGAAAACAAAGTGTGACAGGTTCTACAATGCTGTAATACATGCTCTCATCCAACTTGCCAAAATATAAGTCACCAGTTATAAATACATAGCAGCTGAAGCTCACACTAGTTAATCTTGGCCTACAGTCTGACAACTTTAGAGATAGCCCCTGAAGCATCCCCCAAAAAACTGTTCTTGTAACCTTTGTTGCTCATGGTGGATAGAACAACCTCTCCCCTTATTCTGTAAGTTAATCTTCTAAAAACTGCTCATAGGGAAGTTAACACTTAAAAAAGATAAACAGAAAGAAGTAGAGTGCTACATAGAATTTGGAGTACTTTATTATTTTCTTTTTATTACAAAGTAATTGCTAGCACACAGCAAGTAAAGCCTTAATTAGCTAAAGTGTTCAAAGATGTTCTATTATTTTTAGTTAACGGAAAGGTTAGCAACATCTGTTTATATATAATTAGTAACATTTAGAATGTATTTGAAATGTACTCATTTCTTTTTTGCCTTAGCGTATTCAACATAATTTTTCTCTGGTGATTCTCTTCAGTGCCCCCAGGTCCTAATAACACTAAATAGACTTCAAAACATGTTTAGGACAAGAGAATTTTCTGAATAATTCCTGACAAAAGCTTTTTTTTTTTTGCTGTAATTTGGTTTATTGTCCTAAAATTCAAACATAAAAAATAAATTTCAATTAAACTAGAGGTTCTGGTTATGTGAATTCCAATTTATCTACATCCAGCTATTACTAGATCTACTCTATTTGAACACCAGAGGTCTATCCATCCACTTATTATCTGGCTCTCAGGAATTCATTTCTATCCCAGAAGACCCTTTGAGTCATACTCTTAACAAGACATTTAAAATACATCTTAAAATTTTTCTACATTCATGTAAAACTGGTAAGTTAAATTTAGCAAAATAGGAAGAATTTTAAAAAATCGTCAAGTTGTTTAGCCTTTGATGATATATGTACTGCAATTTTCTAAGCATTAGGTTGGACATTTGTCTAAAGTTTCCAACTATCTTTGCACTTTTATATCAGTATTTCCCTTTCACCACAGTAAGAGTCCATATTTCTCCAACAACTTCTTTGGGCAGCACTGTATCATGGTAAGAGCAGAGATATAGACTCAGACAGACCTAGGTTCAAACCTGAACCCTGCTACTTAATAGCTGAGTGACCTTGAGAACATTACATAACTTCTCTGAATAGCTGATATGGGATGATACTGCCTAACTCACAGGGCTGTTGGAGGAATAACTGACAAGATGTATGTTAAGGATCTTCCAGAAGGCTTGGCATATAGCAGGTGTTTAACAAATATTTAGCCCCTTTTTTCCAACTTTTATGCTCTTCCATAAAAGTCCAGGGCATCCCACGCTCACAGCAGCCCATGCGGTGTGGCTGTATGTTTGGAGGTTAAGAGAGGGGGCTCTGGAGTCAGCAGACTTGGCTCTGCCATTTGCAAGCTGTCAATCCTCAGTGAGTCACTTAACCTCTCTCAGTCTGAATTTCCCCATCTGTAAACAGGGAAAACACTTACTTTCAGAATAGTGAAAATTAAATGAAAGAATATGCAGAAAGGTCTCGGCTCACTGCTTAGTCCATGGCACAGCTTAATAAATGGTAGAAAGTGTTTTCGGATCTCTCCCCACTCCTTACACAGGGTGGAAAACTGGGTTTCTATTTCCCCAGGGCTCTGCTCACACTTAGGACTAACAGGAAAAGCAAACTACATTAACCTGATAAGAGTGGTCTTAACTGTTTGCTCCTGAGTTACAAAGTGACCAACATGGCAGGAAGGTCTGGCTCTGCTGCTGGTGAGTGGGAAAGAGGTCTTCAAGTGAGCTACAATCACGCCTGCTGGGGCCTCAGGTAGGCTGGACTTACTGGTATGGTTTTTAGAGTCCATCTTGGTTTGGGAGGAGTCCCTGGGTGGTACAAACAGGTAATATGATTGGCTGCAAACCAAAAGGTTGATGGTTCAAGCCCACTCGAGG